TGCCTGGGCAAGTCCCTGCAGTTTTCTTGGCAAGGTTTTTCAGAAGTGGTTTGCCCTTGCCGTCTTCCTAGGGCTAAGAGAAAGTGACTGGCCCAAGGTCACCCAAGGTTGGCTTTGTGCCTAAGGTGGGACTAGAACTCATGATCTCCTGGTTTCTAGCCTGATGCCTTAATCACTACACCAAATTGGTTCTCTTTTATTTATTTTATCTTTTATTTAAATTTATATATTTATTCTTTAGTTCTTACCTAATGTTTTCTTTTTTTAGCTGGCATGGCAAGCAGCAGCAGCACAAAAACTTTGGAAATAGGAACTTCTACTGCTATACTCCATTAGAAGCCTTCACCTGGGTAAGCAGCCATGTGATGACTAAGTGTTCCTTGGTTGTGCAACCAATAGAGGAAGTATGTGCCATTATGAGATTGAAGGCATATGCGAACTCTATCAAGATTACTGTAATTACAGTAATATTCTCAATGTGTTTTCTCCTTTATTAGAGTACATTGGCTGTTCTTGCTTTGGAATTAACCAAACAGGCCCATTGGCTGCGTTCTGTGCAACCAAATGGAAGAAATACCAGAGTTTGTCAGCCAGAGCCACAGATTGCTGATTTGTCCCAACATCAGCACTCAGGTAAGCTTCTTATGGACTAGAATAACCAGGGTTATAATTTCCTCCATATAACAGCAGAACTGAATCAGTGTGGCAAGTTTCCTGGGAGCTGCACATTCTCTTTCTCTAAGAAGTAAATCCAATACTTAGTATATTTTCTATGAATGATTAATTCTTCTGTCTGCATTCAGTCATCCCCAGAGCACTATCTCCTTGCTCCAGAGAAGAGGATCAACAATTCTTGGGAGTACACTCTGGCCAGGCACCAAAAAATCTATCTTCTAGCAGTTGTTCTTGGCCAAAAAATTATCAACTCTGTTCGGAAACAGGTACAAATCTTTATTTTTGGAAAACAAAAAGTTTTATTATCAAAAACATAGAAGGACATGGAAAGCATGGTCCAGTGCAGGCTGACTTTGACTTGCTTTGTAATACAGGTGCATAACTCTCTCCATAGGGCTATATCATCTTTTAAGTTTCATGTTGAGAACCACCCTCTAGAAATTTGCAGGGTAAAGTCCAAAGTAGATAGAACTAAGAGCCAAAAGTAAGGGGGCCATTATGAAATTCTGAAAAACAAAGATAAAGCAAAAAAACTCTTTTACATTTCAGAATACAATGCTATTAGCAAGTTTTCAGGCTGTACCAGAAATCCAGTCGACTATACTTTTTATACTCCTGCCATGTGGGATAAGACTACTTAAGTTGTGTCTTGAAAAGGAAAGACCAAACCATCATCATCCTCCCAGGAGACAAAGGCTGAACACAGTTATTATGGACAAATCACATTACTTGCAAAAAGCCAAAAAATTATTACAGGACAAAGAAACCTACATCCCAGTTTACACCAACCCAATACAGAAACTAGACAACCTAATCGAGAGAACCCTTAACAATCTAACCAAGAAAGGCCAGATCACAAAAGAACAGTGGTGGATGAAAAGCAGTGGACCTATCCTCCCATGTTTCTATGGATGACCAAAAATACACAAGCCTGACATACCTCTGCAACCAATTGTAGCGTTACCAGGGACTCCAACATACAACGTGGCGAAAGAACTGACAAAAAAACTTGGACATCTCACAGAGAGGAATGAATATTCTATCAACTCCTCACTACAGTGCCTC